GACCCTCCATCCACTGTTTTTGACCCTTGAGGAAAGCCAGCGAGCCTCATGAGACTCATGAAGTAACAATAGTAAAGTAACCTCAGAGAGCTGTAAAAATTTCACTCAACACTATCAACAATTTGGCAAAATGAGGCAGAGAGAGGGGAAATAAACCTTTTATCCTTAGTTTTCAGAGACTCTAAAGAAAACAACAAATGACATTTAAATAAGTGAATCTTCATCTCTCAGCACCACAGAGCAATTGAAGCTCAACCCTAGAACACAGCTCTTGCAAAGATAAGTGCATGCTTAGTAATATGAGACTTTTCCTGCCTCATTTTATATGAAAGTTATTTCCAAGCTGATGCTCTGTGCTGCCAAAACTGTATTAAAGAGTATATTACTGCAATTTAAAAAAATACAGTATGTCACCATAAATCACATATTGGATTGTGCACTTAAACCACAATGCCTTGTGTTTTGTGGCATTTAACTGTAAAAATGCAGCAAAAGTTAACAGTGTGTACAGATATAATTCTGACTTTAAAACTTCGTCTGGCAAAATCACTGTATACATTAGTTAAAGACATCGGCTGTGCTGTTGTATTTACATGCAAAATGATAAGTTGCATGTTTCATCAATATGTCATTTCTAATGAGATCTGAAAAAGTCCAATTAACATGGTGACAAAGGACAAAGTTGGCAACAGCTGCAATAAGCCATTGCTGTAACTGTAACAACAGTCAGTCATGGTAATCACTGCTGCTGCAATCCAACCAAAGAAAATCCACCGCATGGATCAATGTGTTTAAAAAGCTTCCTCTCATGAATGATTCAAGCTGTCAGTCTATCCCTGAAGAATAATGTATGACAGTAGGCTGGATTCATACTTGATGTCCTTGCTTGAGGTCAATTTGCAGTCATTCACCATAAACTTACATGTCTCAGCCACAGATTGGTCTCCATGATCTGATTTAATTCATCCTGAAAACAGACCAGAATTGATTATTATGATATTAAAGCCAACTAATACAAATGAATATTGACATTTTTAGTTAAGTTAAAAGATGAAGTGTCACATGCAATCATCCATTCCTGATGCTTTCTGCAGGGTCAGACCTCAGTGTGTGCCCCAGACAAGAGGATTGAGAGAGGCGCACCTGAGTCCTCTATGCCTGGAGCATGACACACACACGGTAGCTGGAGGGCACAGCCTCGACTTTTATTTTAACACTCTGTGCTAAAGGTGGAGCAGAGGGACAGAGGAGGGGGAGAGAGAAGAGCTGTGGAGGTCAGGTTTGTGTGTGACTTTGACTGTGAATGAATCTGATCATGTGACACGCGGCTGGGAAGCTCAGGTAGGTAGATGCAGGATGATCTTAATTGGATGGGGTCATCTATTCATCTATCCTGTGCCTCACCACCAAATCAGTCAGAGAACAGCGACATGAAATGTTCTGAGTCAGATCTGAGGAAGATTCATTCAGAATTTAGTGAGGTTTTCCAGTATGATGTATAATTAAGTCTGGCTGCAGGATTTCTTAAAACCTCAATATGCAGAGGTGGCACGGCATGGCAGAACTCTACACATTGATTTAGATAAGCAGCTCCCAGCAGTGCTTGTGTGTAGATTTCGAAAGGTATAGACATGCTAGCCTATTCCCCTGTTTCCAGTCTTTATGCTAAGCTAAGCTATCTTCCATCTATTATCAATAATTCTTAACCTGTAACACGGAGGTTGGTAACCCTGGAAAAGCTATTAAGAGCAGGCTACACTTCAAAATATTCAAGCGATACATCCCACTTCCTCTTGTTAAAGCTATGCCCCCCAAAACACATGAACATGCACTGCTTGACAACTGTTAGACTTTTCTGTGACTGGCTCGCAAACTTCTGGCCATCGTCTCTGCTTCAGGATTTCCATGAATAAGAAGTGTTTCAGGAACAAATTACCATTCCTATCTTGAAGTGTGCCATCTAGGCTAACTTAAATAGTTAATGGGAAGACATATGGCTGCTATCTTCTCATCAATTTCCAAGCAAGAAAGCAAATAAGCAAATTCATGTCAAAATATTTCATTAAGGAGCTCTCATTTCTTAAACCTGCTGTCCCCAGTTCTGTCACATTCAAATATCTCAGACAGCCTTTGGCAAAATCCCTGATAACGAGATGATGACTGAGGCGGCCTGCCTGGCTGATGAGTTATTGATAGTTTAAATGAGCTTATATAGCTCCACAGGAAGGTCTAGGTTACAAGTGCACCAGATGCTCTGGGTAATAACAGTCATCCATCTGCACCAGGAGATACACAGCCTGCTATATTAACACAGTTAAGCAGAGTGTGATAAAATATCCTTTATCTCATTGTCTTGTCTACATTCAGACAGGTATTCAATACTTATAAAAGTCTTCTGAGAAGAAAAATACAGATTATACACAGGGAAAAGGGAAGAAAATTCAGATGATTTCATTGTATCAGATCTCACAATATCCACTGCAAATGTCAAGAGAAATACCGGGCTATTATCTCATTTTATTTTTATTAATTTTTTTAATATTACAATGTAAAATGTTTTCCTTCCTTAAAGGAGTGCAGCACAGAAGGTGCATAGCAAGAAGGTTCCCGGTTCAAATCCCAGCTTGGCCTCATGGTGTCTTTCCATGTGGAGTTAGCATGTTCTCCCTGTGTTTTCTCCAGGTATACCAGCATTCTCCTATGGTTAGGTTGATTGTAGACTCTGAATTGTCCATAATTGTGAATTTGAGTACCAATGTCTGTTTGTCTCCATATGTTGGGACCTATCAAGGGTGTAAACCCGTCTGTTGACCAATGTCAGCTGGGAATCGTGACACCTTGAAAGATGAACAGTTGATGGATTGACGGATGAGAATAACTATTGGCTACTGACTTCAATGTGAAGTCTGCCTCTGTCCAAAGGTAAGAAACTTTGTCTACCAGTAGTCCTAAAGCTTATTCTCTCTTTATTGTACCTACGCATAGAGCCATGCTGGTTGTACCCTGGTGCCTTCAGTCAGTGTGCTAAGATAAGCACCAAGCCTTGTTGCAGTAGCTTGATATTTATTATACAATCAGTATCCAACTTCCCATTTCAAATAAGCTATTCCACTTATAGTTGTGTTCAAAATAATAGCAGTGTGTATAAAAAAGTGAGTAAAGCTCAAAATCCTTATAATAGCTTTTATTTCCATACACGCAAATGCATTGGGAACACTGCACATTCTATTCCAAATCAAAACATGAAGAAAAATGTATAAAATTTGTTATTACAAAAAATTTATTATTGAAGATTTAGCTTTCCTGTGAGTAATTGAACTAATATTTAGTTGTATAACCACTGTTTCTGAGAACTGTGTTGCATGGAGTCGACCAACTTCTGGCACCTGTGAACAGGTATTCTAGCCCAGGACGATTGWCTACATTCCACAATTCCTCTGCATTTCTTGGTRTAGCCTCATAAACAACATTTTTMATGTCAGCCCACAAGTTTTCTATTGGATTAAGGTCCGTGGATTGGGCTMGCCACTCCATAACGTTAKTCTTGTTGGTCTGGAACCAAGATGCTGCTCACTTACTGGTGTGTTTGGGGTCTAACCCTTGTTGAAACACCCATTTCAAGCGCATCTCCTCTGCGGCATAAGGCAACATGACCTCTTCAAATATTTTGATCTATTCAAACTGATCCATTATCCTTGGTATGCGATGAATAGGCCGACACCATAGTATGAGAAACATCTCATTATCATGATGCTTGCGCCACCATGATTCACTGTCTTCACAGTGTACTGTGGCTTGAATTAAGTGTTTGGGGGTCATCTGACAATCTGTCTGTGGCCCCTAGACCCAAAAAGTATATTTTGCTTTCATCAGTCCACAAAATGTTGCGCCATTTCCCTTTAGGCCAGTCACTGTGTTCTTTGAAAAATTGTAACCTCTTCAGCACATGTCGTTTTTTCAACAATGTGACTTTGCGGGGGCTTCTTGCTGATAGCTTGGCTTCACATAGACATCTTATTGTTACAGTACTCACAGGTAACTTTAGACCTTCTTTGATCATCCTGGAGCCGATCATTGGCTGAGTCTTCGCCATTTTGGATATTCTTCGATCCATTCGAATGGTAGTTTTCCGTTTTCTTCCACGACTTTCTGGTTTTGTTTACCAATTTAAAGCATTTGAGATCATTTCAGCTGAGCAGCCTATCATTTTCTGCACTTCTTCGTACTTTTTAATCAAAGTATGCTGTTCTTCTGAACAATGTCTGGAACGACCCATTTTGCTCAAATTTTCAGAAAGAAATGCTCCATAACTAGCATGTACAACATTGGCTACCTGTTTGACGCCTGTTTTTTCACAGGATGAATGACCTCACTAGTTGAACTCCACACTGCTATTATTTTGAACAAGCCGCTTTTAATTAATGATTCATTTACACAGAATCAGCAGCATCCATGTCATGACGGTTGGGTCTGTTGGTTTTCTATAACCCTACTACACCTACTAGTAAATTATTTGCCAAGTAGAAATATAATTTCTACCAAAAACCGTGATTGATCTGGTTAGTGATGTTGGACTGCTATTATTTTGAACACAACTGTATATAAATCACTCTGACAGATATAACCCAAAATCTCTAAATCCAGTCATTTTATCAATAACGTAACCAGATGACTTTTGGGAAGATCCTTGACCTTCAACACAAGTAGAGGGACTGATGTGTTATTGTGCAGTAAAATTCAAAGCTTTTCCTATTTTACGAGTGAAGCTGTCATCCTTGTCAGAGGCGAGCCTTTCTGCTTAATTGTCGACATCCACTCTGGACCTGTCTGAGTCGAGCGACACAGCCGTCTGACTGGCCCCTGCCGCTCTGCGGTGAACAAGCTCCGGCGAACACCCGTCGTTAAATGGAGAGGTGCTCATGTGAAGTGGCAGTGATTGAGTGATAGTCCTCTGCCTGCCCTGAGAGGTGCTCAGACAGCTGACATTTCCCATCTTGTCTCAGCCAGACTGCCCCTCTTCTCATCTGGTGCGCTCCTATAGCTCATACACCGGGGGCTAGTGGCTGGGAATATCTCAGGTGTCTCAGATGGTGTCCCAATAGTCCCTTGGTCTAAAAGTTTGTTGTCCAAAGTACACAGTACAACCTGGTTCTCCAAGGTTTTACATTGTGATCATATCCTCCACAAGTCCTCCTCATTAAGCAGAATGATGCATTTGTGACTGTGATAAACCATTTGTTTAGAATTCAGAAGTAAGATGACTATGGACGTCTGTGAAATAACATTTTGTAGATTACTTACCACTTTGACTAACTGTGACATGGACACCTCGAACTGCACAATGACTGGGTCAGACACATTCTCCACTGGGCGTATGTACTGGTTGTAGCTGGAGAATATCACAGAGAAGAGCCTGTGCTCTGCATCTGAACACGAGCCTCCTGAATCAGAGCACAGGGTCAAGTGTTCAGTGGGTTAAACAAACTGACGCACAATCATGTTGGTTTGTGCTGAAAAATCCGAAGAAGCAGATTTTGCACAGATTGCCCATTTCTGTGTGGAAACTGAGAACAACTTTTTTTAATTCATGTATCTTTTTATATTCTGATAATGCTAAATTATCATGCAGTGGTGACTAGATTAATGTTGCAGATACATTCATATTCAGTGCAAACAAAAAAATACACTCATCATTTCACATGAACATCCTCAGCTTTGATATTCAGTATCAGTGCCAGAATTTAAGAGAGAAGTCGAAATGTTAAAATGTAGGATTATATTGTTATGAATGGGATTGATTTAAATAAAGATATATAATATAACAAATATTTATTTATACTTATATGACAATAAACATGTTTACTTAAAGCAAAAAGTAAAGTAAGATATGATGTTATAATAGAAGCCTGTAACTCACCTGACAGAAGAAACAGAAGGAAGAAACATGTGAGCTCAATGATGCACAAACTGGTTTTCATCCTGTTTCACTTGACCAATGCAAAATGAATCTGCTCCTCGGAGCAGACGAGAAGAGAAAGTGAGGAGTGAGAGCTCGTCCGTAGCTGCCGTGAGGGAGGGAGACAGAGGGGGGGGGGTCTGCATCACACCCAGTCACTGACAGCAGAAACACCACTGCACCACAGTACTCTGATCTAATACAACCAGGAAAACAACTGGTCAAAGGTCTCGTTTATCACAACAATCACGACAGTTAGATTGATGATTTCCACCAGTTAAGTGACATATGACCACCAGTGACTAGTCTGTCACCAGTCATATATTGACATGGAAAAACTGCAATAAACTGCACTTGTTTGTATCACAATATATTAAATAAAATAGAATGACACTCTGTAGAACCTCCACCAAGACCCAACATTTTACTTAAATTCAATCAAGCTGCTTTAAATGTTGCACACTCATGGATATCTGTCCTATACATATGCCATTAATCATTGACTGAGAAATGGGTAAATTAAAAAATAAATTAAAAAGTGAAGTGCGAGAAAGTGAAAATAAAATCCTGGATCTGCCCCTTTGTCCTGATCCAAAGCAAAGTTTAATGGGTTCTTTTTTGGACCCTTTTCCCATCTTTCCACCAAATCTCGAGGAAATCTGTTAAAGGTCCGATGTGTAAGATTTAGTTGAAGTAATTGATTGTTGTATGTGATACTGTAAATCAAGATTTCAGGGATGTGCAGATGTGCACATTTTCTGTGTTCACATGGAACCAGGTGGTGTTCACACATTATTGATTACCATATTAGATCACCAAATAGCCTTCAAACAAGATCTATAGCCTCTCTCTCTCTCTCTCTCTCTCTATATATATATATATATATATATATATATATAAATGTTCAGAGTTTGGAGTCCCTCAAGATAATCTTTGTGTCTTTTTTTTTTATTGGTTTGATTGATTCATCTATATCTGATGATATGTCAATTTCTAATTGGGATATAACTGCATTAGTTTGGCTCTGGCTTTGCTTTTCTTTCATTATTACGGTAACATTTATTAAAGTAAGGTTCCTAAATTTCCCTTGGGATCAATCAAATATCTATCTAGCTATCTAGTAAAGTATTATTTATCTTCTGGCTGGCAGGATGGTCTGTGATGGTTTGAAACTCCGTCCTTCGCCTGGATGAAGGGAAGGTCTAAGTGCATTTCAACCCAGGTCCACCCCACTGAATTTCCCTTGAATGATAAACAAAACCCTACCGGTGCTGGGGACGTCGTGTGGTGTCTAACCAGGCTCCTAACTCCTTTAAATGGGGAAGTGAAAAGAGAACTGCTCCCTGGGTGGAGGTCAGTTAAGGTTATCACATAAAAAGGGAAGTATAATGCTATGGGGAGTTTTCTTATTCTCAGACAGGGCAGAATGAAAACTAAGGTTTTGTTTCACCTACACATTAAAAAACTTAATATACAAAACTTTGGCGACAGAAAGCTGACAGACATATCACAAGGTTATTAGTTGGATTTAAAAAGAAATGGAGTGAAATGTTTGGACTGCATCCTCTTTTTTTCTTTAATCTATGACGGTAAATCCTTAAACGCTGTGTGTGTGTGTGTGTGTGTGTGTGTAGAACAACCTTTCAATACATATCTTATTAAAGACTAATGACATAAGGCTTGTGATTTATGGGACCTTCTTCAGGGTGTTGAATGAAGACCCCACCACCACCTCAGCCTTTGCTAGGATTGTAGCAGATGATGGATTGTTGATGGATAAACTGTGGCACCACATCGTCTCTCTTCTCTCCCCTGACAGCACATTAACAGGTGAGTGGGAAAAATAGTAATGGATGATCTTGAAGAAGTGCAAAATTAAAGTAAAACCGGTCGTTAACACAGATGCAGATTACCATCTGTTAATTTTAAATGAAGCTCCCACAAAAGAACAATTCTGCAGAATCTTTAACGAGCCCACTCAGCACTGTTTATCAAGCTCTAACCGTGGTGTGTGCACCTGCATGGCAAGTACACCGGACTAAAAACAGAAATCAACTGTGGTGTAAATACACAGATGAGTAAGATTACAGTTTTTGAAACAAATACACTTTGCTCATGTTTTATTTAAAGACACGTGTAAGAGCTTCAGTTTTCACTACAACAAAAGCCCTAAGACACTTAATAAAGATGGACAACATGAAAGCTCCCAGAAATGAAACCAAAGTTTCCTGATCACCACCTGGTAGCTTGCTGCGGTATAGGACATAAACAACACCTCCTCCATGTTAGTGGATAGGACATGGAGCAAATAACTCTACCTTTTTCTAAGAGATGGTTTCTATCAGTTTGGGTAGCTCTTATCACACTGATGTAGGTTCATTTTCTCCAATAAGCCTGGCTTTAATTCGTTATTTGATACCTTTAAAAAGAAGTGATATGTCATGATTGACAGCTGAGACTGACTCACTGTGATTGAATGTGTTTATCGACGGTACCACACTACCGTGGCTCCACCGCCCCCGGATTGCTACTATGTAGTCTCTGGCTCAAAAGCTGCAAGATGGCAGCGTTTACATCTTGGATAGTTTGGCTTCGAGACATCGTAATCAACAGCAGGTCCACCTAGACAGTTTTTATTGTGTGAACATCATCGTTTGTGAACACCTGTCTTTTATGTGTGCGATGAAATGTCCCAACTGGCACATCTTCAGTGAAAGCACCAGTTCCTTTATCACTTTATCACTGGCAACAGATTAACTGAGCTCTTTGGCGGGATACTGACACTTATAAGACTTTATTGAGGGATTTCATGCATTTAATTTCAAACTGGGAGAGGACACTGATTTATTTTCCTTTATTATTTCATTCTTTAATCTCACATCACATTTTAATGATATGGCAGTAACTTAATACAAATAAGGGGTTAAGCAACATTTGACGGCAGATGAATGTCAGTCACTGTCATATTGGTTATATTGCTGCAACAGTTCAGCACATGTTATGATTTGCAGTATACTTGAGTCGAGTAGAGGCTGTGCAGGGTTATATGGCTACAGGCCACAAGGTTTATACTGGAAGGAGATATTTTATCAATTGTTATCTCACACAAAAAGTTTGTTCGCTCCACTGATGATACAGAAAAAGGGTTTCCAATTTTTTTTTTCTCCTGCCTTATTGGTGGGATTTTTCACAGACGCCACATATGTCAGTGCCCCTGGTCCCTGCCAATAAAGCACCACACTAAGTTCAAATACAAGACCTTAAAGTTGCTCAGTCTCTCTTGTTTGTTCCTCAGACGCGAGGAGTCTCAGAGCTGGGCTGCTGATTTGGAAAGTTGTGACTCTGAAACAGAGGCTGCAGAAACAGACCCAGTGTTCCCACCACACACACTATGACAAAGATCCACAGGAACATACGATCCACCACCATGGCCACGTACTTCCAGTCCTCTATCACCTGCACAATACAAAGAAATGAGAGGTTAGTCAGTGGGTTTGGGTGACTGAAGAATCTCAATTCAGTGTTTTTTGTGGATGCTGTTGTGTCTCATGCAGCCACCAGGGGGCAGAGAGTGTAATGTGAGCAAATTGGTGAATACTGTGTGTGTGTGTGTGTGTGTGTGTGTGTGTGTGTGTGTGTGTGTGTGTGTGCTTCACTTTCCTCTTCATTCTCTTAACATTGAAATCCTTGCTGCCACATCTCACATCATGCAGATCATGTATAATGTTTGCCTGCACTTTATTGTGCAGTTTACGTTTTCGGACCTTCATTCACACTCATGTCAATACTATTGCTCAGAATAGCTGACTAGGTACTGAAATATTTCATTTATGTCACTGTTAAAATCTGTCTCCATGTTTGTGAAACACGCTGAAATGGCTTCTGACCCTTTCACCCCATTTTCATTTCTGTCCTTGGTAGAAACTAGTCATTTCTCATGTCTGGTTCTCTCCCCCACTTTATTGATTCGTCAGAGAAAGCGATTGATTACCCAAAGTCGGACTTCAATTTGCTGGGTCATAGCCACTACTTAAGATTAGTGGATTTCCAATCTTGCAGCTCAGGGGTCACAGAGTGTATAGTAAATGTTATCACATCAATACAAACACCTTTGGTCCATGCAGCTTATTTGGATTAGCATGTAGAGGATGTTTGATGGGAAAATAGCTCAACTCCAAACTTGAGCAATGATATCGTGCCCTAGATAACTTCATCATGACATTAATACATAAATGTGTTACAGTTGTGTTATTAACATTTGCATTTTAGGAACTGTTTATTTGCTTTGTCTCATATATTAATACCAGTTTTATGACCGTATGTTTTGACTATGAAGCCAGAGCCAGGAGGCAATCAGAGGTCAACAGTTTATCCTTCACTAGTTGCCTGGCAACTGAACTGACTACTTTGCCAGGAGGTCACTGCATCCGACTGTTGTTCGTCATGGGGTAGTTTGAAATCATCTAAAGCCACAAACTATTCATTTACATGGACACTCATTTGATGATCACCAAGTTATGTTACTGTTTACATTATTGATCCCTGAAGGCAAACTCTTGACTGCATTTGAGCAGTAGCATAATGGTTAAGAACAACTAGAGACTATGTGGGGAGTTTTCAAGTAAGCTTTATGCTCATGTAAGTATCAATCATGCCCCAAAATAAAAAATTTTAACGTCCAAAATGCCAAAGAAAAAAACTGGGAATCAAAACAAACCTGTAGTGGCAACATAGAATAGTCTGAGCAAAGCAGAGCATGAAATGTTCAAATGTTTTTGTTGGTGAAACATCTGACAGTGGCTCAGCTAGAGAGGGTTGTCGACTAACCAGACGGTTGTGGCTTGATCCCCTGCTGACAGTTTCTGGATGGTGTGTGATAGTAAAGGTGAACAGAAGCACTGTATCAATGAGTGTGTGAATGGGTGGTTGATAGGACTAGAAAAGCTCTATATAAAAACAGTCCATTTTCAATTTACCATTCACATTTGAGCTAGAAAGATGACTGGATGGATTCATGTCTATACATACACTCTGATCATCGTCGTCTCCCATCATGTGCTCCGCCACAAAGCGAACCCCGTTCACTGCCTCCTGGACATCAGCCGCCCAGTCTGAGCTGCTTTTCTGCTGCAGGTCCTTGGTGGAAGTGAAACCAGCAGGAATATAATCTGTGGAACGCAGCTCCTCCTTCCTGTTGAAGTGGCTGTAGCCCATCGAAGCAGCTACATTTTTGTGTCCTGGGGTGGAGATGGTAGAGTCAGAGGAGAGCAGGGCAGACGATGACATGTTGATGCCTGTTTTGGAAGCAACTGGGTAACCCAGACCCAAAATGGATCTCCTCGCCCTCAAGCACCGCTGTTGGCGAAGTCGCTGGCGAGCGGAGTTGTTGTGAGGGCGTCTCATGAAGAGTAAGGCAGGAAGCTTGATGAGAAAGATCAGCTTGACCCAGGAAGGCATGGTGTGGGTGCTGGGGGAGCGGTGGTGCACGTTGAGCACACACACACTGGTGATGATGGAGAAGGTCACCAGCACCATGGTGAACATCAGGTACTTGCCGATCAGAGGCACATCCAGTGAGGTTGGGGGAACGATCTTGGAGATCAGAAGCAGGAACACAGTGAGCGCCAGAAGGACGGAGATGCAGAGGGTCATCTTCTCTCCGCAGTCTGACGGCAAGTAGAAGACCAGGATAGCCAGCGAGGTGATGAGAACACAGGGAATAATTAGGTTGATGGTGTAGAAAAGAGGTTTCCTCTTGATTATAAAGTCATACGTGAGATCCACATAGGTGGGATCCAGGGGGCTGACAGTCCTTCTGCCAGGAAGTGCTAAGATATCCCACTCCCCACTGGGAGTGAAGTCATCCATACTAGCTGCCTCAGTCTTCAGGATGAGGTCGATCTCGGTGTGGTCGTATGTCCATGAGCGGAACTTGAGGGTGCAGTTCTGTTGATCAAAGGGAAAATGCTTGACCTCGATCTTACAGGCGCTTTTGTAGATGGCAGGAGGAAGCCAGTTGATACTGCCATTGAAGAGAACAATGGCATTGGTGAAGACTGTCACCTCATAGGTCCCGTCAGCGCTGAAAGAAACGAGTGAGAGAGGAAACTGAAGAGAGCCCATGAATAAATCTCTGAGGTTTGTGTTGTCAACACTGCAATCATCGTGGAAAAAGATAAAATAGATAAGTGCAATCGATAGTAAAAGTGAAAAAAACCCACCTTCAATGAATAAAAACTCTGAATGAGCATCAGAGAGTCAGTTGGTAATGTCTATTAAAACCCAACAAGTCAAGAGAGTGAGGATGGAGAGAATGCTTAATCTGTCAGCCAGCGGTTCCCACACTAGGGGTTGGGATACCCTGGGGTCATGGGGCACTGACAGAGGGTTCGCAAGATCATTTCCAGAAATTAGATACAATTTATTTCCATTCATTCATTGTTTTTCCTTTAGCCGAGCTTGTGTCGTGGAGGTAGCTAGCCAAGTGTATTCTACACATCCCGTTATCCCCAGCTATGTGTCCAGTTCTTCCTGGGGAATCCCAAAATGTTCCCAGGCCAGATGGGATATGTAGTCCCTCCAGCAAGGTCTGGGTCTACACCGACGACGCCTACAGGCTGGGAGTGGCCAGTAAACGTCCAGAGGAAGCACCCAGGAGGCTCCCTGATTAGATGCCACTATACTATAAGTGTCTAAACTTTCAAATCTCTGGCACCTTTACTTTCGTACTTCCCTAGATTTTATAATAATTAGACATTGCACAGTAATACAGAAATTGTCATGTCAGTGCTTACTTGTTGTACAGAACAATGTCTGGGAGCCAGATGTGTCTGGATGGAATACGCAGCTTGTCGATACCTTCGTACTTTGCCGGGTCCCATGATAACCTGTAATCCACCCAGTGCTGCAGAGACAGAGACAGGGAGACAAGGCCGTGAAGTCCGACTCCCACACACTTTCTCAACACCAGCTCATTTCTAATTACATGCTTCATTATCAATGAAATATGTTTTAGTGCACAATTACAGAGGCAGAGGCAGAATTGATATGGTTTAATTCAAGTTCAGGGGGAAGGACATAAGACAAGTTTCAACAAACTCACCTGAGTGAGCCAGACATTTGTGGTCATTATCTGTTCTCTTTCATTCTGGAAATAAACAAGTGGGATTAAAATTATTTTTCAATACAGTTTACAAAGAGGTCATGGCACATGAATGAATCACTACCTCCTGCAGAAAGTGTTTAACACTTAAGCTTTCATTGCAAACCATAACACTACACTCGAGATGAAAAGGAAAATGTAGGAATATTGAAATTGCAGTGTGACCAAGTACGATATTCCAATCAAGGGAGCTGCATGTTAAAGGTAGTATGTGTCACAGTTAGGGGAAAAAAAATTACCAGTTTCATGGTATAGTTTTTGTACCGCTTCAATCTTTAATTAATTTAAATTAATTACCCTTATTATCATGGTGATTTGGTTGGCAAACTGATATTTTGTCCTGACTCAGAGACATTTGGGGTCGACGTCTGCACTTAAAGTAACGAGTTGTAAACAAGTTTCGCTTGTTTTGCATCATTATTATCTGTCATCAACATCTGACATCAGCACATGCTTTGTTCATAATCATAGTACTTTTTCATATGCACATTTGATTCACTTATCCAATGTTTGGTAAAACATAAAATGCTTCTTTAGCAAGTTAAAGCCTTCCCTCTTCAATGTTGTACATTCGACATTGTTGTGTTGGTTATATCTAAAACTTATAATAATATTGATAACAGTGATAATTGTGGTCACTATAATTAGGCTTTTAGTCACAACATACACATCTCTATCTGTGAAGCATTGTGATGCTATAGAGGCCCTGGTCTCCAGATGGTATTCTCCAAAAGCACCAGCAAAAATCACATCATCATCTTTTTTTTAATATCTTTTAATTGAAAATTAAATATAAGGCCACTCCCACTAAAATAATGACTCATCACATTATCTGTCTAAAATAACTTCCTGCTCACTGTCTGACATCTGGTTTAAAGCGAGGTCACAAACAACTGTGCGCTCTTATGTCACTGCCACGACTAAAATTCCAATACAGGGATTCCACCAAATGCCAATAGCCCCACGCAGTACAATGGAAGCTCATAAACGCAGACTGTGAATGTGGCTCGCTGCCCTGGACTGCGGCAGGGAGGAGCCTGTACTGTAAATCTGAGAGGAGCCTCTATCACTGTGGGTTAAACAGCTTTATGGCCCCTTTTAATGCAATGTGCTGAAGTTTCAATCTGGACATGACAGAGGCAGAGATCACAGCTGACCACATCCATCCTCAACTTCATCCATCGCCTCAGAGCTACGGCCTCTCAACACCGGCTGGGG